GGTGGGGGGGGGAAAGGGGAGGGGAGGGGGGCTGATTTTAAAAGAGGGAAAAAGAGGACGAGGAGGAGGAAGGCTCACCGGAGTAGCCGAGGAAGGCGACGCGGCGTCCCCGCCGGGCCAGAGAGAGGGCATGGTACTGCATGCGGGGGCTCCGGCCCAGGTCGCCCAGGACCACCACCGCCACCCGGTGGGACCGGGCCCCGCTAGGCCGCGCCCGTCGCCATAGCAACAGCAGCAGCAGCAGCGCCAGCGCCAGCGCCGTCGCCGCGCAGAGCGTCATCCAGGCCGCCATCTTGGGAGAGGAAGCGAGGCGGGAGGGCTAGAGCGGCGCCGCGGGAGGAGATGAGAGAGAGAGAGAGAGCGCCCCGAGAGGTCGGAGAGGCGACAGCGGCCGCTGCTGGCCGCTTCTAGGAAGGGCAGCTTCGGAGGCTTTTAAATTGTTTTTTTTTTGTGGGGAGGGGGAGTCGATCCCAAACTATAGACAGATAGCATGTATGTCTTCCCTTGATTTATTAATGTTTTATACTAGTCAAATTTATACATATAAAATATACCTTGGCCTGACCATCGACCCAGCAGAAAAAAAACACACTGGAGGACTTTTGTCTCCCAAAATGGGACACTTTTTCATTTTTTTGGACACCTGGAAAAGCTATTTTTTGTTGTTGTTTCTGTTTCCAAATGCTTGTGTTAAAAAACAACCCAACGCATCCTTTACTGCAGTGTAGAGGACCCCCTTCTCCGGGTGGCACCCTTGTCCAGTAATTCCTTCCTTGACTTTAAAATGCTGGATATTAAAATTTGTGTGTAATGTTTTGAGAAACTGGCTCTATTGGAAGGAGAAAGAAGGGATGACTTTCCCCCCCCCATTTAAAAAGAGGGAAAAATACCTTTTTTTCCCCCTGCAAGCCTGTCTAAGGGGATCACATGTTACTCGGCTACTGTATTATTTTAAAAAAGGACTCCCTTATATAGAACGCATATTTGCAAAACATAAAGGTTACACCACAGCGCCAGACTCATATTTTTGGAAAGAGACAGGGCACGTGATATAAATAAAGATGAAACATAAGGATAAGAATATATTTCGAGTGGAAAAGTGGTTTATAAATGAAGTCTCTCTATGCAGAGAGAGAAAAAGAGAGTACAGTACGTTTGAGTTGTGATTCTATTTGTCATTTATGGTTTTGTTTTACACACACACACAAAAATACA